CCCCCCCCCCCCCCCCCCACACACTGCCTGCCTCTCAAGCATGTGTGTTGTGTGTGTATGTGGCTGTTGGATGGTCAGGGTGAGGGGAAGGACTCGAGCACGACAGAGGACCGCCATGTGACCAAGGAGCTGCTCCCACTGGATGTAATAATAGGCAGCGGTGAGGAGGCCTGCTGCTACTACTTCGCCATGTTCGACGGACACAACGGACAGCAGTGAGGGAGACAACCAGCCCAACCACGCACACAACCTCCACACACACACGGACGAGAGGTATCTGATGTATGTTTGCTGTGTGTGTGTGTCAGGTGTGCGGAGTATGCCTGTCACCATCTCAAGAACAACCTCATGTCATACATGAGACAGGTCAGACAGACACACAGACAGACAGACAGACACACACAGACGGACGCACCAAGAACGGATGGGCGAATGTGTGTTATGTGTGCCGTGTATGTAATTGTGGCTGCGTTTCAGCTCAAGAAGGGTGGCGACGAGTGTGAGTGGCTCAAGAAGTGCCTCAGGAAGGCATTCCAGCAGACTGACAACAACTGGCTCCACATCGCAAAGAAACAAAACATCGACGCCGGTCAGAAAGCCGCACTCACACACACACGGATCAGAGGGGAAGCACCCAGACAAGTCAACTGGCTGTGTGGTCACTGGCTGCAGGCTGCACGGCATTGGTGTGTCTGTTGTATGGCCCGGACGAGAAAGGAGAGCTCAGACTCGTCACGGCACACGCAGGCGGTCAGCAGGGCGCCCTCAGAACACAACATAACGCAACGTTTGTGTGTCTGTCTGTACTCATTCATTCAGACACCCGTGCGGTCATGGTGCGTGGCGGGGCGGCCAAAGCGCTGACGCGGGACCACAAACCCAACGACAAGAAAGAAAAGGCACGCACGAGGCAAGAGAGAAATCGCCACACAAAATACAGCATGTCCCCATGTGTGTGCGTGTTGTTGTATGCAGGACCGCATCAAACGTGCGGGCGGTATGGTTGAGCAGGTCGGCGGTGCGTGGCGGGTCCTCTCACAGCAGAAGGACGGACTCATGGGTCAGCTGCCTACCCGACAGCCACCAACACACACATACATACATTAGGAGAAGGGATGGAGAGCACGCCATCGCGGTGTGCGTTGTCGCTTCAGGTTTGAGCACGTCCCGTGCCTTTGGCGACATCCGTCTGAAGCAGCCGAAGCAGCTGGTGCTGAGCGAGCCTGATATAGCCACTTACACCATCGACCTGGAACGCGATCTCGCACTGGTAGATAGATGAACAAACGCCACACGCATGGTTGGACGGACATGCAGAAAGGCGGACAGACAGACAGAGGCGAAAGTGATGAACGTACACATGGAGGCGGCTGTGGCTGGGTGGTATGGTTGAATGGTGTAGGTCTTGGCGACTGACGGTGTGTGGGATGTGGTGTCCAGCGACGACGCCGTCAGGATCGTGGAAACAAACATCAGCAGATCGCCGAAAAAGGTACGTAACCACACACATACACATACAGAGAGACAGACAGACACCCCAAACCAACACATTCTCTTTGGCCTTATTAACTACATCTTCCTTGTTGCATTTGTGCATGGCTTCAGGCAGCGTCGGCATTGGTCCACACCGCCAAGCAGCGAGGCAGCAAAGACGACAAGGTCACACACTTTATCCACACACACGCCAGCCAACCCAAACTCACGTCGGCCTATCTGTCTGTCGTGTGTATCCATGCATGGCATGTGTGCAGACGGCCATGGTGGTGTTATTTGGCTGGCACTCGAGTCTGCGCGACCTCCCCCCACCAGCGGCCGAGGACGAGCAGGACCACGAAGCAGAAGAAGGCGAGGAGGGCTTAGCAGCCGAAGAGCCAGAGGGGCTCGAGCAGAACGAAACTGCCCTCGCTGTCGAAGGCGCTCTTGGCGACCGGGCAGAAGGAATGGATAAGGCCGAGGGCATGGTGGGCGTCAAGAGGAGGCGAGACGAGCAGCGAGGGGAAGAGGAAGAGGATGACATCTTTGCGGCTGCTGAGGCGGCCAGGCCGGCCAAAATGCCGCGGGCTGATGAGCGGCCGAGCGAGGGCGAGAGAGAGAGCGGAGAGGACGGCGGGCAGGGAGGACAAGAGCGGGGTCGAGAGAGCGGCAAGGCCAAGGATGTGTTGAAGAAGTTTGATATCAGCAAGAAGATGGACTTTGGGGCAGCTGCTCTCGACAGTAATGATGACGATTGAATGCATATGGTGTTGGGAGGGCGTGGCGTGTGTGATATATGGATGTGTGGTGGAATCGATCGATGGTCTTTCTGTCCCTGTCTGAGTGTATGGGGACCCGACTGGCGTGTGATGCATCAACCGTGCCGGACCCTTCCACCGTTGGTTCTACGACGATCGATCGATACTCATGAAGCTGTCCATCCATCCATCCATCCATCCAACGTGTCTGCTCACCGAGCGGTCACCGGAGTAGTGGGATACCAACAGAACACACCGTGTAGTGTATGACCGTCCCAACAAAGAGGTCACGTCTGTCGGGAAAGAAAGACGCACAACAAACAGAGACATGCAAAGGAGCACGCGAAGAGCAGACGACATCTCGGCAAATATAAAATGTAGACAGCGGTGTTCACCGCCTCCTTCCCGCCCCACTGCCCGACCGTCTGTCCATATGCGTCCCGAAAGAACAAACTGTACGTACGCTACGCATTGCAATCATGCAGGGCAACCACACACGCACGCCCACCCCACTATGAACAACCACCCGTCAGTCATTCACACATACATACAAGGGCCCGACCCGATCCTCGATAGATCACTGCGTCCTCCATTCATCCATCCTCGATAGCTACACCCAACCATGCCATGCAGCCCCACCAGGTCGCTCGGCCATTATCAGTTGGCCATCTCGGTGCCGTCGGCACACAGTGCAGCGACGGATTATTAGTGGCCCCGTGCCGCCGTCTCCGAGAAGGCAACTGGGCGGCGGGGCGGGGCTGAGGGCGGTGAGGCCCGGGGAGGGGAAGGGGGTGAGGTCGAGTGTGTGTGTGTGTATAGGGGCCACGCTGTCCCTCTTCCTAAACCAGTGAGTGACACGCACACACGTCAGAGAGATACTGTGTGTGGATTGACCAAGGCATACAGACATACATACATACACACATACGTTATATGTGTGTGTCGCCTTCCTTACCGTGCGGAGAGGTGAAAGTCGATGAACCTCTTGGCGGCCGAGCCGCAGCCGTTTTGTCGGAGGCCCTTCCTGCAGGCAGGCAGGCAGGCAGGCAGCCAACAACACATTGACACCAACCAACCAGAGACATACACGTACATAGACAGATAGGTGCACCTGACTGACTGACTGACTGGTGCGTGTGATGACTGACTGACTGACGCAGCAGGCTGCCCTTGCTGCTGCTGCGGCTGGACTGGGATGGGTGTGGGGGATGAGCCTGCACGAGAGAGAAATAAGGGAAACGATGAATGTGATGTTGTAGCACGGTGAGTGATCTCACCATGGTGGCCATGGGGTGGCGCCGGTGCGGACAGGCTCCTCAGGTGAGTGACGGGCCGCTGAGCGTACTGCAAGAAGGTCCCGCTGACGGTCAGCTACCAACCAGGGGGCGGCTCCACACGCACACCCGACGAACGGTGCTCGAAGGCGGACACGGTGGCCGTGTGGTGCTCTACCACACAGCCGGCGAGCATAGGGTGACAGAAATAGAGGAGCTGTGGCCAGGAGAAGGCTGACGAAGAGGAACTGGCCGCACTGGTCGCTTTGCGCCAAGAGCTAAAAAAAAGCAAAACGTCTTGTCTCCCATCTCGCGGATTCTCGCCGGCGATTTTCAATTTACGGTTGTGAATCCGAGTAAGCGAGTGCATCGACGACGCGACACATACGTATGTCGGGCCCACGGAATCTGTGGACTAATCAGTGCCTGTATGAGAGTCGGCTGCTGGGTACTTCTACGTATGAATGCATGTCTGTCTG